CGCACATATTGACTTGACTAGATGAAAATCTGTGGCTGAAAAAACAATACCACTGACAATAATAAACAACACTATGATAAAAGGTCCATTAGTAACCAGCAGGGCAAAAGCTTTATGCAAATGACTCCGGTTTAAGTCCAACTACCCCTGCTGGTAACACAACTTCACTGTATGTATTTTCACTAAGATGTTTGGTTATTATGAAGCAGTAACCAACACTGAAAAATTCACCTCTGTGGATATTGAATGGAATGACAGTCTTCCCAATACTATCGGCACAACAAAACCAATCCTTTCATTTTTATTAGAATTGATACATTTCACAATTCAAACTGAAAGAGAGGAATAGAAACATTTCAAAATACGTCATTTCGAACTGCCCTAGTTGATTAAAAAAATAAAGGGAATGGGTTTGTTGTGTCGATATTACAAGTTACACATAGATGGATCGTTACCTAATTGTTGTTAATTATTCCGCATCAAACCACAGCACCATTTGTAGGATGTTTTTTAATCAAAAATTGTTAAACAATTACATTATCTCAATCGAGCCAGATCTCTCAAAATGATGTCTTTCAGACACAGGAACATATATAATTCATCCTAAAAGAAATGGTGGATTGTGGGTAAACTGCTTAAATTCCAATTATCCCATGGGGATGAGGGTCCAAGCATTTCAGTTGATGCTGAAATGTCAACGGAGGTCAGTTTTCACACACTAGTATTAATCACTGGAAGAGGTGATGCATTTTGTCATATAGTACCATGTGCACTATGTGGCAACGACTCAATGTGATTTGAAAAATGGCCAACTTCAACCAAAGCACAGGATGGATATATCTAATCATGCATACATATTCAAAATTCACATACTAAGGGCCGGTACATCTGAACCACAGGAAGTAAAGTAATCTGTGTTTATGGATCGTTTAAATTCAGCATGCATGTAAGGGACGTCAAAAGATCAATGTCGGATAAAAAACTTAATTCCTTTAGTTTTTTTCCAACCCCCCTAACCCCTACTGAAACTTAATTGATAAATATTGGTTCACCATTAAATACAAATTATTAATAGGACAGTAGTATTGCATAGCAGTTGGTTGTCGGGTGGGTGTAAAAAGACTTTACAAATGCACCTCATTTGACGCACATATTTACACTCGGACAAAACCATTTTCTCGTCTTGGATGTATTTTTTTCATTTTCTGTTATTTCTGTCCATGATTGGATAGAAAAAAAACGAACTACAGATACTCCAAGATTTTTTTTTACTTCATTAAAAAATAAAATCGTTTTTGTAGGATGAAACTTTTTGAGGTCAAAACCCCCCACCCCAAACTAAAGCAAATAAGTTTTTTTATCTGACATCGATCTGTTGACGTCGTCCCTAATTCAAGCAACTAATCAAATATAATGTCAATAGCCAACTGTGATTGCATTCATTGGCAGTAGAAGCTATGTCTTTAATTGTACAGATCTGCTAGATCTTGGAAATCAAATATATTTTTTTATTTATTTTGGAGACCAACAGAAGAATTTAGTCCCATTTACAGATTATATTAGAGTTCTAGTTATCATGCTACCCATTGTAACAAGTACATTGATTTTATTTACATTCATCGAAGGACAGGAACAGTTTTAAGACTAGGGAAAGCATGTATTGCTATTTTAGAAGTGTGATAATATTCAATGCAGACACAGTGTTTTTTCTAAGACTACAGCTGTCACCATTGGTGGAAGTGTGGTAATAAGAATTGAAAATGACATTACCTAATGTAAAATACTTTATTTTAGCTGGAATTACTTTTCACTTAAATGACTTTTTTGGTTCATTCGGTGGATTTTATTTTCACTGAATCATCCCTTCAGCAAAGACTAGGGAATTCAATATCACCATGGTAATATTCATTGGAGATAGCACTATACATCAAATTCACATGTGGTATTTAAACATAGTTGCGGAACTTGGTAAATATTTACCTGTTTACTGCCCATAACAAAAACACTGGCTTTGATCGGATGACATTTCCTAAACACACTAAATCATGATTCAAGATTTGAACAGAATGTACTGTAAAGGCTGGGCAACACAAGACAATTCATGAAGAAATGCATGAAACAACGCATGTGTTGCTTTGTGTATATGATGTAATCGCTCCAAGCAAAATCACTGGAAAAACAATTGTGATGGTTTTTCAGGTATCCATTCACATGTCACCAGTTGTCGCATGTTATATACTGCGAAATTAGAAGCCGTATCCATTCGTTTTGAGCAAGTGAGAACCAAAAAAAATCACTGATTCTCATATGTGTAGTTGTTATATAAGAAGCAACATCCCTTCTATTTCTAATATAGATTTTACAGTAATTGTTGCTGCATTGCCTCAACAATAACCTCATGGGAAACGGCCTTTAACACTGAACATGCTCACCACCGTACCTTGCTGAATACCAATACATAACTGTCAGCAGAGGGTAGCAAACTCATCCACATCAAATTAACACACCAACAAATGTTTTCTTGTGTTACCAACATTAACATATTTATTGATAAAAGCCTCTGGCACATGATGGATAGTTTAAAAACTCAAATCCACTCAACATATTCTAACAGCCCTGCTTAGCATCATAAAGATATCCACTGTTCTTAGCTTACAGTGCAGTCTATGTCAAAACACCTTGAGGAACTACAATAGAATAATGTGTGCTGGAAATAATAAAAAGTCTAACAAAACAAAAATATATATAGATAAGAAACACTGCAAACAAACCTCCATACTGGCAAAAAACTGGATCTAAACATCAGAAATACAAAACAAAAAACAAATCTGGACCCAGTAATTATGCCAAAAAATGATAAAATTCACATCCAAAATATACTACTATTAAAATACCTTTTTTTTAAATTTCAGAAAATTCACAATAATTATTAGAAGGCCTACAATTATATTCTTGTCTATGGGTCTGAGTGAGAATTAAGCATGAAGCCACAGAAGGTGATATCGAGAATGGAGTGAAGATTAATCTACCTCGCCTTGTCCACCAAGTTAGGGGGTACTATGAATCAAGTTGCCCTGATATTGTATAATTATACTTTAAGTTTGCTTGCACTATTGTTGATTTCCAACTGAACTTGATCTGCGATTTTTTACATAGTTAGGGGCCATAGCAATTATTATGCTAGGGGACCCTATACCAATTCATTATTTTTTTGTAAAAACAATCGAATACACCTTCTGAGGCACACACTTCTCCCATATAAAGTGCTCTCCTAATAGTAATATTTATCACAAACGTTCAATAGTTGAGCTCCTCTCAAACCACACAGGAGATGCCTTGAACCACACTCATACAAACAGTACACAAGAAAACAATATTAGAAACTAGAGGCAAATAAAAACAATGATTATATAAGTATTCTCATTTCATCAATATGTGTACTCCTTCAATCATTACTCAGTTTCCATCGGATTTTCCGAAATATATAGAAATACCAGACACCTGGAAATATCATGTTTATAACATCGTACAAGACATTCTCTTAAAGAAGGCAAATATTATATAAACTCAACATGTGAAGAGAAATCATCACAGATAAAATAAACAATTCCAAGAAACCCATCATGATACAGAAAAATTTAGTTTGAAGATAAATGTTCAAACTTCTATTAATGGATTATTAACACAACAATTTTATAAGCAAATATAGAGCTAAATACACACATGATTTATCAGTTTAAAAAAAATAACATTTAAAATCTTGGATGGTGAAGTAATTTTCCCAATAAGAACACTATAACCATGGAATTGTCATGCACCACAAATAATTTATCAATCTTTCAAACATGACAACTCAGTTTTATAAAGACAAATCTTTTTGGTCATTGGTTGAGGGCAACGGTTTGTGAAAAAAATTAATTATTATGCTTGTTTCGAACAATGAGCAAAAAATTATTATGCTTTTTCAACCGGAATGTATAAACAAGATGTGTTCTTTATTTGGGGCACCTAATATAGACATTGTAACCTTTTGCAGCCCACTCACTCTCAAAATAATATGTAAATGTACAACCTGAACTTGATTTTCATATATTGCGGAGACGCCAATGGTGTTAGAAATTTCAGGATAATGGTATGGCTCACTCATTCATGATTTGGAAACATAAAGTCATAAATTTATTATTATTGTATTAGTAACTTATCAAGACGTAATGAAATATTGAACCTTGTTAATCTTTGGTTTGCAAGGTGTTACACAATGTAATTCCCAAGCGTTGACAGCCACTTATATTAATGTAGCTAATGTCCACACATCATTAAGTCTCAAAGCCGTTAGGGTAGCAGTGTCCAAAATTCATCTAAACAAAGTATTTTAAAAGTATTGTATACGTCGCATGGGACTCGTATTGAACACAATGTAACACAGTGACTTTGGAGCTTCAAGGATGGATGCTTCTTTTGAGAAGGGGGAGGGGGGTTATAAATTTTTTTTTGAAGCAACTACCAACTGCACTATCAGTGTATCTCACAATCCTTTTTATTAAATGGGCCCCTCTATCAATCGGATTTTATTTTTAATTCAACTACCTGACAGGAAATGACCACATGCTATCAACCCACCTTGATGTTTCTGCTTGATGATGGAAAATAGTGATTTAGTTTTTATTTTCAGATTTTGTGTTGAAATTAAAATTCCACTAAAAATCCATGACTGTAAAGTACTGTAAAATACTTTATTTTCACTTGGAATTAATTTTTGCTATTTCCGCTGGAGGAATGATTCAGTGAAAATAAAATCCAGCGAATATACTTTTTTTATATATATTTTACATTCAACTCATCAAGAATCAGTGAAAATAAAATCCACACAAAACACCCAAAAATTCTTTTCAGCGAAAATTAATTCCAGCTAAAATAAAGTATTTCACAGTACTCTATTTCAGCCCAAATATTATTTCAGTGATAATTAAATTAAGTAGTTTACAGTATAACATTTCAACCTCCCATTAAATAAAATCTTAGTTCATCCTCCTGCCAAAAAAAATTATTTTGTCATGGTCCAATTAATATAAGGAGTATGGTAACAGAAAAACTTAACCTGTTGAGAGAAATGTTCTGATTGTCATTTGTTACGCATAACAACGATTCATCCGACTGTTTTAAAGCGAGCTTGGGCCCTTCTGATTATTCTTCGTCGACAGAAGTGCAGATATTAGTGAAATGAGAATGGTGATTGTTTCTTTCGGTCGTCTTTTTTGATTTACTGTACTCGACGACAGTAGTAACCCAGTGCTTTGCACTTTTCACATAGATGTTGGGGGTGTTCTTTACTTTGGTCAGAGACATCAAGTCCATCAGGCTTCTCAAGAGGGCGCTGTTCAATCAAAGAATATTGATCAGTGAGTAAAGCAATAGCAATAACATTGAAACAATGTTGCAAACAATTCTGGTTTACTGAGTTGATGGTATCCATTGAGTACTATAAAATTAGTAGAGCCATGAGCAGTTGATTACAAAACTCATCATTAATTTGTCTATATTAATAAGTTATTTTAAACTGTGATATCTTTTCTTTCTGATATATATATAAGCAATAAACAATATTACACAAAACAAAGGTGTTTTCACCCCATGACATGGGTATCTACTGTAATATATTTGTTTTTTTATAGTACTGGTATATGAATCCATGATATTTGGAAGAATGAGCACTATGAGAACAACTCTCATGGCCGTCTTGTTTACACAAGATCTCACACAAGATTTTGGCAGCTATAGATTTATTAGAATTGTTTGATATTGAACTATGATACTTAATAATACTGAGGGAGTGAGACTAGGACCAGAACATGTAATAAATAAATCAAGTTATGTACCATATTTACCTGCTTATGAGGATAGACATTAATATGACACTTGATACATTCCTGTCCCATATTAGCCCAGCTGTTACCGCTCATCCACTTGCGCTTGCACTTGGGACATTTGTATTCACCAAAACATCGTTTCTTTCCTTGGTATGGAGTTAATCCTTCTCCCTTTGGTCTGGCCTGAAATTGGATGCAAACAAACAATAATATTTACATAAATTCATAATAATACTACCGTAAAATCTGTATTAGAAGCCACATCAATAATAGAAGTCGCACCCATTATTTTTGAATAATTGAGAATCAAAAATTCATCATTTCTCATATGTGTAGATGCTCTAATAGAAGCTGCAGTTTCTAATACAGATTTGACAGTATTCAAGAATTTGGTGTCAATTGAGTTTCTGTAACTAAATTCTAAGGTGAGGCACTGGGTATACCACATAAATTGAATCCATTTAGTAGCCAAAAATGTTCATGGGTGTATATGGCATTGAGAGTGAATTAATGATTTTTTATATTTTTTTTTATTAGGAAGACCAGTGGAAAGTACTGTAAAATCTGTATTATGAGTTGCATTCTATTTGGGAATAGAAGTTGCACCTATTCTTTTTGAACAATTAAAGACCCAAAATTCATATGTGTAGATGCTCTAATAGAAGCCGCATACCTCAATTCTGTTGAATTGTATCATTTTAATAGAAGCTATTGTAAAATTAAAATATTTTAGCTGGACTTAATTTTCACTGAAAGAACTTTCTAGAATTTATATGGAATATATATATTTGTATGAAATTTATTTTTATTGATTGTTTGATGAGTTGAATGTAAAATATCAGGAAAAAGGTATAATACAGATTTTACACTAGTTTAACTTACAAGGTGCTATTGCAGACGATTCTGGTTGCAACAAGGTTACTAAGAACAAGAATATCTAACCACTTTAAAATGCCTATATATAATTATGAAAGTCACTATCATATACTGAATGAAGAGCCACAGTCACTGCATGTTTTTATCCTATAAAATTTTAACTGGATACATAAAATTTTAGGAAACTTTGTCTTACTCAATATCAACACCCTTCCCATTTCTTTCTTGACACATCCTGTACACTCCTATTATAGAATAATTTATATGTGCTTTCTCTGAGACTCAACATATCATGGTGCTGTGGGTCTGCTTTAATATGAGCTAGTTTAAAATCAAATCCCACGACTTCCAGGTCACTGACACTACGGTACTGGCATTGCACTAAACCAATCAAATTGCCTGACTTCCAGATCATTGACACTGCTAGCATTGCACTCAACTCAACTAATCAAATTGCAAGATTTCCAGATTATTGACACTGCTGGCATTGCACTCAACCAATCCAATTGCCTGACTTTCAAATCATTGACACTACTGGCATTGCACTCAACCAATCAAATTGACTGACTTTCAAATCATTGACACTACTGGCATTACACTCACCTCAACTAATCAAATTGCAAGATTTCCAGAATATTGACACTGCTGGCATTGCACTCAACCAATCAAATTGCAAGATTTCCAGATCATTGACACTGCTGGCATTGCACTCAACCAATCAAATTGCCTGACTTTCAAATCATTGACACTACTGGCATTGCACTGAATCAATCAAATTGCCTGACTTCCAGATCATTGACACTACTGGCATTGCACTGAATCAATCAAATTGCCTGACTTCCAGATCATTGACACTACTGGCATTGCACTGAACCAATCAAATTACATATCTTCCACTTGACAATACTGGCATTGCACTCAACCAATCAAATTGCCTGACTTTCAAATCATTGACACTACTGGCATTGCACTGAATCAATCAAATTGCCTGACTTCCAGATCATTGACACTGCTGGCATTGCACTGAACTAATCAAATTGCATATCTTCCAGATCATTAACACTACTGGCATTGCACTGAACCAATCAAATTGCCTGACTTCCAGATCATTGACACTACCAGCATTACACTGAACCAATCAAATTGCCTGACTTCCAGATCATTGACACTACTGGCATTGCACTGAACCAATCAAATTGCATATCTTCCACTTGACAATACTGGCATTGCATTCAACATATCAAATCAACTAGAGGTTTGAAGGGCAACGATTCTAAGCTACCACTATTACTGCATGCATCTACCAAGTGTTAGCCAAACCCATATAATGATGAGAGGAATGCATCACATGAAACTTGTCTAATCAATGATTCCCATACTAATGATCTATCTGATACCATATTCTTAATTCCCTCCATTAAAATGAAAAACGAGATGTAATTAAAGACTTTTCAGAAGAACAACTAAGATATGGCCACTTTGTTACGCCTAGTTGTCATGACAACTACACTAACTACTACAAGCTTGAGCAATTATACAGTTAATTTACCATCCAGCTATGTTGCCTCCCAGCTAGTCAATATCAGCAACAGAAAAACACGACTCCAATCAACATGCAAGTGTTTTTTGTATTTTTAACAGTTTTGTTTTATTTTGATTTTTTATGAAAATCAAATTATTTGTTCATTTTCTCTATAAATTCCAACAAAAAACCTGACCAATAGTTGTGACATACTTGATGACTCAAAACATAAATAGGGGAGGGTGGGGGGCTTCCTACTTACTCCCTAACAAATGAATCTTGGTTATTGCTACCTGATTTCTCTTATGGAGTGATTATTATATGAAAGTAAACAAATGTGCAACACAGTGTTTACTTACTGTTGTTGTAAAATACTTTTAGCTAGATTAAATTTTGTATAAAGTGTATTTTCACTGATATTTGTTGAGGTTTAATGTAAAATGTTATGGGAAGGTATTTTCCTTGATCCATCTGTTCATCAAAAATAACTTAATTCAAAGTAATTCACATAATGCCATATTTTATTTTTTTTCATATAACTTCTTTGCGTGACATTATTTTCTATTGGTTTGATAAAAAATGTTGAGAAAATTTCATGATAATAGACTCAGAAATTGATGTCGAGATCTCATTTAAAGTGAGACACAAACTTGTAAATTTCCCTTAAATAGTTTAAATAGTGTTACATACTCTTCTGTAATAACATTCACTGTTACTTGGAACACAAGCTGGGATGTGATGATTGGAGAAAATGGAATACTACTAGTATTTGAGTGCCAAAAAAAACAAGCTTTGTGGCTCTCACTTTCTCTCTCTCACCAAAAGATATTTTGTCTTTCACTCATGAAGGTATAAACAGAAGGAGGTACAACTGGCTTAAGCCTATTAAATTTCCTTTGATACTAGTAATCCTCTTATTTTGTCTGTTTAAACACTTATGTATTAGTTTAAATTGAAGCCTTCTTTACAATGGTGTTAAAACTATGTCCCTCCAGAATACTCTGCGCATGCAGTAGATGATGGAAACTGTTTTCAATTTTTTTTTTGTCAACCATTATCCAGACGTCGTGATTTTGTGAAAAATATATCCTCTTCAACCATGACTTCTTCAATTTCATTTACTTCCGCTGAATTGAAGCAATTATTAACTTCATCTTCTTGAACACGTACACAACTTTCCAGCGACAATGACCTTTTGCCCGACGTTTTTTGAATATTCTTAAAGGCTCCTGAAGTACGTCCGTAATACTGACATCGGAAATATCTGCAGTTCCATTAAAATATGGTCAGTGTATCATGATTGAAAGTCATTGAAAGGTTTGTTTAAGGGGTTGCAGCTGATTGGTACAACAGGCCGGAACAAACACAGTTGTTGTTGTCGTGTAGTTTTTCCAAAAAATCTTCGATTCGATGTGCTCTGAATACATCAAATATTGCCAGGGCTTTTTGTTTATCGGGTAACCACAGATTCTGGTGAAATGGCTGTCGTGCTGAGTGTGAACTACAGTAATAATAGCAATAATCCTCAGACGTGTGTTGGCTAGTGAAAGTGTAACACTCGTTTTAACGTGTGAATTAGTAACAGACATTGAATAATAAATGCTCTTTGTTCTTATGCTGCTAGATTAACAAGCAAACATTATAATCACTGAGTAAACGACGGAAATGAACATGGAACATTTGATCTTAAGGATGCTGTATACCTTTTTTTGCTTTGAAACCCAAAATTCTACTTTTTTGTATTTTTCAATGCTGGACTACAAGGAGCAAACACTCAGTTGGAAAAAAAATGAATTGAATGGTTTTATAGGGTGTAAAAATCAATTTTTGTTAATTAAAAACAAAAGCACATGTCATTGTTTTGAAAGCTATGTTTTAATTAATCAGCCAAAGACATAATAGACAGATAATTTGCATAATAGTCACCACCCATGGCAAATATAAACTGTCTCTTGCATTCAGTACAAGCTC